CACTTGGCTTTTCATTTATGATGATGGTTGGGATATTTTAGTGCATTAATTGAGCTCTTCCACCCCCTAAATAAGATGGAGTTTTGGCCAAGGAGAGATCAAGAGAGAAAAGAGTGAGCTTGAAGGGAAATCAAGAGAAAAGCAAGCAACTTTGGTCTTCCAACTAACATTCAAGCTTGATAAGTTGTTCTAAGATGATTCCTTGCTTGTTTATTTAAGTTGTATGGTTGGAAAATTTTGTGTATCCTCTTCTTAGTTGCTGGCCAAAATGATCTTCATGTAGGGGAGGATGTTTTGTTGTTGAAACTTGTTAAAACACTTCAAATCTTGGTTATTTCAAGTGGTTGTATGTTGTTTTTGAAGAGATTTCTTTATTATTTCTCAAGAGGTACTGTTCGACCAAGACAAGAGCTGGACCCTAGGATGTGTTTTTCAAAGTTTTGATGCTTCCATTGTGTTCAAAATGAAAAATGGTGTAGGATAAACCTAAAGAACAAAGGTTGGAAGCATTAAAGCTAAAGTTGTAATTTTTAGAAAATGAACCATAGTGGTTCGGCCAAGCCAAAACTGGAAGAGGGAGTTTTATTTGCTTAAATCTAAGTAGATATTTGGAATCTATATGAAAAATCATGTAGGAATGAGTCAAGAGGGAAATTTTAGGGTTTAGGGAAACCAAACTCTAAAAATTAAAGAACAAAGATGGAAGCGTTAAGAGACAAAGGTTGTCCTTGAGTTATGTTGTTGACTTTTATGTGGAATGGTTGATAATTCTTGCCACCCTTTTTATGGATTGCCATGTTAGGGTTTGGCATTTGTGGAAGCAAGAAAGAAGAACAAGAAAATCAAAGAGCATTGGATCAAGGTAGTAAGACTTAATTAACCTTAATGTTGAGTGTTGCATTAATTGCTATGCAATTTCATGTGCTATTATGTAGTTGAGCTAAATGATGATAATGATGATTGTGTAGCTATACTCCTTGCTTTATATGCCTTGGCTATTGCATGTTAGAGTGCTACATGTATGAGGTAAAGTAGTTCCCTATTAATAGCAAAAGGTTGGAATGCTTGTAATTGATGCATATTGATGTTTTGGTTGATTGATCTTGCTACTGGGATTTCATCAAAATCTCATCCCCCATATGTAACCTAATATTTTAGGGACTAAATCAAGGAGGCTGCAAATCCAAGGATAAATATGGTGATGAACCATGAGGAAACATTTATATTTGGTTATGTATAAGTATGTATGGTTGGTGCTGTAATCCTTAAGCAAGATGCCAAATTAGAGCCACGTTTTAGTAAGTTCCTGAATGAATTTATTTGGAAAATTTGGTATGCTTAAAGTTGATATCATGAGCTTCAAATCGATAGCAGCACAATTTTTAATGATTTTTCAGAGTTAAGGTTCATAATCTGGAAAGAGGGTTTTTGCCAAATGGACAGAGGTTGACTTCAACAAAAACATGACACTTTTGCAAATGGAATTGGTTCACAAGATTATTTTTTCTTCAAAGAGAATTCAAAGAGCTTTTTATAGAATTTTGAACCACTTCATTTTGATTTTTCTAAATTAAGTTATGAATTTTTTAAGTTGAGCCAGAAAACTGGATTTTTACCTGATGAACAGTAAAAATCCGAAAATCAGCATTTTTCATAGATTTTTGAGCCCAAAATCATCCAATGTGGTCTAAAATGGTTTTAATTAAACCTTAAGTGGATCCGATAGTAAGGTGTGACACATTAAGTGAAAGTATGCATTAGTAAGTTCATTTAGCATAAAATGCTTTGCTTGGTTAACACTGTGAATGTGGTGCTATGCTATTAAGATTTCCATGAATCTTACCCCCATGTTTAAGAAAAACTTAGGGCCTTCAACATCACAATGAAAGGGCAAGGAGGTGGTCAATATATGATGGAATTATAATTGCAATGGCAGTTTATGATCTCAAATCATTTCATGCATTTTGAGGAAGAATGTAATTAAATATTTTGTGATGATCTTAAATGACTACTTTATGCAATCATACATTCAAGTATGCTGTTAAAATCAACTATGTGAGTGTTTAATTAGCATGCCAAGTTAGAGAAATAATTATAGAAAGAATTGATAGTTTGGGACAAAAGTCAACCGTTTGAAAAGATGGTTTGACTGACGTGAATCTGAGCAATTGAGGGAGTTAATTTGTGAAACCTTCCAGATCAATAGATCATGTTTTTCCCTTTAAAGTGAATGGTAATATGCCTCAAATAGATAATTATAACACCTCCTTTAATACCTTATTACACATCAATTGGAACTATTATAACGTATTTCCCAATGTTTCTGAGTGAAAAATTTCAATTTCAAAATTTAGTATATAAGTATGTCCGTACACTGTTCATCCGAATTTTGGTTAACTTTGAAAATTCATAACTAATTCTAGAAAAATCAAAATGAGGTGGTTCTAATTTTTCTTTGAAGCTAGATTAATTTAGAGAAAAAATATTCATTGGACTTAATTCCATCCATAACAGCACCAGAAAATTCGACAAATTGCACTGTTCATATAGTTAGTTTTTGAATTTTTAGTATTTTAGCCCAACTTTGGAAGGACATAACTCTTAGCACACAACTCCAAATTTGATGGTTTATCACTTGATTTAGAGCTAAAAATGAGATCTAATTGCTTGAAAAATCTTAGCTCTAGATTCTATCATGTGCTTATTATTGTATGTGTCACAAGTTTGCCCCTGATTTAGGGATTTTTATCCCTTAATCTTTTTTTTATTGAAATTATTTCCCTTTTTCCTATTTCCTTATCCTTTTGACATTGCACCATTTAACATTACAGCATTAGAGCATGTCATAACAATATAATTTACATTATATCACCGTCCATATTTCATTACAACTTAACATAAAGTTTATTAAAACATTACACAACACAACACAGTGATATAGTTTCCATAATGTTCTTCTATTCCAATACCAATTCCTTGCCTTGATCCATGGAAGAGTCACTCCCTATTTGAGACATAATTTAACATAGGAGGAATGAGATTTTATAGAAATCACAGTAGCAATTGAACTATAATTGTCATGTAAATCAAGCAGGTTACAATGTGACATGTTATCACACCTCAAGGCATAATCAAATCACATAAAATCATAGTTAATACCATACTAGAAGAGGAACACCAACATTTCCAATATAATATGATTCAATGCATTTAGACAAAGCATAACCTAAAGCCATTCAATCAACCAAAATCACAACACAATTCCTCAATCCAGGCAAACAAACATAATCACATTAAACAAGCAAGATAAACAATCAAATTATAATTCAATGCTACCTTTAAGCACTTGATTAATTCAGTCTCCTCAAAGGGATTATGTTTCTCCTTGATTCCTCCTCACAACACCTATTGATGCAAGTATAAATATAAGCTATATTAATAACTAAATAACTTAAACACAATACTTTAATTTCAATTTAACAATTTTCCCCCTTTTGCTTTGATTTTTAACAATATTGTTCCTCCTTTAGAATCAATGATCTCTTAGCTTAATTCTACACAATTTTTTATGAGGAATTCAAATATCCAATCATTTTTTCAAAAATCAAACTCTCTCCCCATCAAATCATGTTGGCCGAATATGGGTATACAACTTTCAAAAATTCTCTTTTTGATTCCAATGATTTTAAACACTTCCCAATACTATATCCCTACACAAAAACACCTTTTAAACCCATTGGAATGATCAAATCCATGCAAAACAAACTGCTAGCCCATATACTATTATTAGCTGAATTGGACATAAGGGACCCTAAGTGGAATTTCTTTCAAAAACCACTCCATACATCACTTAAACAAGCTTATTCCACTTGGTATTTAAGGTCTCTATCCTTCCCTAAACATCACATGTTCAACTGAAAATTGGGTAGCAATTTCTCTTAATTTTTCAAACCAAAACCCTAACTAAACTAACTCAAAACTTAGGGATAAGGAGGCTTAAGCATTCTTTGATGTTTTCTTGATTTAAACTAAATGATTCCTTGCTCAAAACCTCCTAAAATTTGGTCTCCTTAGATCTGGACACAAAGTGGCAGCACCTCCCCCTTTTTTTTTTTTTTAATTTTCCAACATTTTTCTTGCATCTTTAGAGGGGGTATTTATAGAAAATCCAATATGCCCCTCCCCCTTCTTGTTGGCCAAAAATATGACACATGATAGGGCTTATGTTGCAGCCATCAATAGCAAAATGAACCAAATCACTCTAAGTGGCCAAACTCTAGATTTTTCCAAGCTTTATCCCTTAATTTTGCATTTTATTTAATTAAAAATAGTGTTGCCTAGAAGCTACATGAAATTGGGCTTGAGTTGGGCCTAATGTGGGTCCCACAAATGGTCTAAGCTGGCCCAAAAAGATAGCCCACAAACTAAATCAAAATCCCAAGCCATTCTGACACTTTATCAGTTACTATTCACTAGTAGCATTACATAATTTTTTTCAGACCTCCAAAAATTCATTTCTCTCTATTAAGGAGAAAATAATATGGAATATATTTCTTGTATATTCATGATCAGAAAGGGGGAATTTATACACAAGAGAGGAGCCTCGGTCATTAATGGCTCATTATTAGAGGATAATATCCTATCCTATCATATCTGATTTGATCCTATATTAATTACAATATATTTACATATCTTTACACTCTCCCTCAAGTTGGAGCATAGATGTCAATCATGCCCAACTTGTTACAAAGATAGTCAACCCAAACCCCATTCAAAGCTTTAATAAGGAGATCACCCAATTGATCATTGGACTTCACATGTCATGTTGAGATGAAGTTTTCCTTGATCTTATCTCGAACAAAGTAACAATCAATCTCAATGTATTTTGTGCGTTCATGAAACACTGAATTAGAAGCTATATGTAAGGTTGCTTTATTGTCGCACCACAGTTTTGCTGGTAATGAGGTTTTAAGACCAACCTCCTTCAATAATTGATATACCCAGATGATCTTGCACACAATTGTGCCATAGCTCTATATTCTGCATCTGCACTTGATTGTGACACCATGTTCTGCTTCTTGATCCTCCTGGACACCAAATTTCCTCCCACAAAGACACAATATTCTGTAGTAGATCTTCTTGTGGCCTTTGAACCACCATGATCAGCATCACAAAAGCACTCAATATCTGTATGACCATGATTTCTGTATAATATCCCACAACTTGGAGACCCCTTCAAGTAATGAAGCACATGCTTTAAAGCTTCCCACTGTCTGATAGTAGGCGAGACCATAAACTAGCTAAGTACACTGACTGGATAGGTGATATCAGGACAGGTCACAGTAAGATAATTCAATTTTCCAATCAATCTTTAATACCTCTCCGGGTTCTCAAATGGCTTGCTCTTAGCAGTATCAACGGGATTCTCAGATGGTATGCTTCCATCGGTATCAAGGAGTAGATTATAAATCATAGGAAAACTGTTTGGCGCAGCCCCTAACTTTCCAGTTTCCTTCAACAGATCAAGAACATACTTCCTTTGAGTCAATAAGATTCCTTTCTTACTTCTCAAGACCTCAATTCCGAGAAAGTACTTTAACGGGCCCAAATCTTTTGTTTGAAAATGAGAATTAAGAAAGGACTTAAGTGAAGAGATCCCCGACATATTGCTCCCTGTAATAACAATATCATCTACATACACAACCAATAGAATTATGCCAGTGCTTGTGCTCTGGTAGAACACAGAGTGATCATACTTACTTTGACACATGCCAAATTTCTGCACAACAGTACTGAATCTGTCAAACCATGCCCGAGGACTCTACTTCAGGCCTTATAAGGATCTCTTGAGGCGACATACTTTTCCATGCTCCCTGAAAATCGCCTTGACTTGTCTTACTTACACCTTGGGGCTACTTTCAAAATTAATCCAAGGATTGTACTATAGGCACAACCTTAGGTCGTTTCACTTGTGGAGCCGAAATTATGATCCTAGATTAACTAAATGCCATGGTAATGCAAATTGAGCAAGAAAAAGTTGGGGGTTTTCATTGAGACTTGTAATTAAGATAAAATGCAATAGAATGTAAATGTATTTTTGGATTTTTGGGAGATTAAGATGAAATGGATGGAAATCAAGTGCTAAATCAATTGGTAAAACCTCTTGAAAATGGATTCTTGGCAATCATAGTTCTCTTAAGATGTGGGAGTTTTATAAATTCATTAGGTTTTCTTGATAACAACCTCAATAACTCATTGAGTCCAATGCTTACATTAATGAACTCATTAATGAAAACATTGTTAAGCTTCCCTAATGTGTAATTAAGAATGATTAATGCAAATGGTTCAATGCAACAGAAAATCAACTCATCATCAAAACATGACCATGCAAGATGAAGAGAATCAAGAAAGGTACAAAGAACATATATGTAACTACATATATTGAAGCATGAAATCCAACATTAACCAATCCAACTACAAATGTGAATCATCAACTAATGATTACAGATCAATCAAAGTCTTTCACTAAGAATTTACAAATCCTAGACTTAGGAATTCATAAATACATAGCTAAAACAAAGATGAAACTGAAACTCCCCTTTTTAAGCTCTTAGAACTCATGCCAATCATCCATCTTCAAGAGCTGGAGGAAGCCTAGCCACTCATGGTGTGCAGAAATATCTCCATTGAAATTAACTCAGTGTTGCCCATGGATGAAAATGACAGTGGAAGGTGAGGGATTAGGGTTCTGGTAGGAGAGATGAGATAAGATGAAGAGAAAACATTGATCGTGGCTAGATGTCAGTGTGTGACCTCATTCATCCCTAAAATATGGTTTCTAACCCGAATATGATGTGTCTGGGTCGGTTTATGGAAGTAGGCAAGTCAAATTTTCCCGAAATGGTCGGGTCTGATTTTGCTGATACGAGGAGTTTGCCGTGGTGAAGGGTGGCAGAGGCTCCTCTTTTGCTCTATGTGCCTTGAGTCTTCAACCTTGGTTCTAATCTCAGGTGTTCTACATTGAAAAGCAACAATTTAAGGCATCAATTGTCCTAGAAATTAATTGAATAAAATTAATAACTAATTATGACGATTTTACCCTCAAAAAGACACTAACTCAATGCATGGACTCTTAATATAAAATAAGCTCAATTATAGCCAGAAGAGCCAGAAAATGCAACAAAACCATGGATGATGTAATCAAAAGATAAGAATAATTTGAGCTCAATCAAATTCCCCCACACTTAGACCTTTGTACTCTTGGACAAAGCTCAAAAATAATTCAAAGAGATACCAGCCCAAAGAGAAGCACTACCATGCTTAAAGATGAAAGCAGAAGATTAGTAAGAAATTCTCACAGGAGTTGACAACAGTAAAACAAGGATATGCTAAAAAAATGAGCACAATGGACAATTAACCCAAAAGATTGATCAAAAGAGATCTATCTCACGGATAAGTGTTTTGCTCTTAACTCACTTGTTTTGGGATTATTTCACTCTAAGTCTGCTCAATCCACTTTCTACCATAGGCTTGTAATAATTCTACCTCTCCACCACGGGAAGCAAACTTTGCAAATTAAGAGGACTTTTAGGGGTCAGAATTTGAATGAAGACCAAATGAAATGAATGGAATGAGAATGAAACCGGAAATGAGTACAAGCATACAAATTATTAAAACAAAATTGATCTAAACAAACATAAGGAGAGAAGCTACTTATTTTTATTTTTATAATTTTTTTTATATCACTATCTTTTCTTTTCTTTGCTTTTTTCTCTTTTTCTTTTTCTTTTCTTTCTCCCAAAAATCCTTCCAACAAAGCTAAAATCTCAATTAATCAATCTCAAAGGTTAAAAACCACATAGTCCTAATTTCAAAGCATATCATCATTTACTATCTGTCAAAAACATGAGAATAACTAGTCCAAGTTCAAACCTCATTTAAAAGCATAGAAAGTTTTCTAAAAGCACAAGTACAATTTGAACTTTCCATCAATTTCAAAAGGATGCAGGAGCAGAAAGAATCTAAGCTAAGAAAAATTTCTGAAGAGCAACTGAAATTGCAAAGCATTTATTATTCATTATTATTATTATATTTTTTTTATCTTAAAATTTTTTTTTGGGGTTCGTCGCGGCGAAAGCTCACAGAGAGCAAAACCTGGAGATAGGGCCCTGATAAACCTTGTCGCTAGGTAATCAAAGTTTTACTAGGGAAATGCAGCAAGTGAGGCACTACCTAGGTCATTCTTCTTAAGGAGCCTTAAGTTGTATTTCAATTCTTAACAATTCACTTTTAATTATCAAATTACCAAGATGAAAGCTTGAGTTTTAGAAAACAGAAATTGAAACAAGAAACAAATCTAATGAAAGGTAAAATGCAAAAGAAGATTCAGATAAGAGATAGTAGTTCCCCTAGCAATTTATCCAACCTTCCTTGTTCAATCTTATAATTTGGAGTCTCTTAATGTCAATTAAATGGATAGATTCAGCTACTGCTCAAATCTCTCTAATCACAGATCAAAAACAACTATCTTACTAGATTCATTGTCTTGCTCTGGTGAGAAGGAAAATCAATTGACAAGAACACTTGAGAAGTAAGTTGCAATTCTCTAAGGATGATCACAACTGTGACTCATCAATTTATTCAATCAAAATTCAGATTTACAGAACAACAATCCAAGTAAAAACGAATTAGATCTACAAATCAACAGAGAATCCTCTATTCAACTGAATCAAGGACACAACTCACATCTAAATGTTCAATCAGATCTAAATTCCAAGAAACATAAATCTAATCACTCAACCTTCATTCTAATAACAATTGTTCAACTGAAACAAATGAATCTTAGAATAGAAAGTGGAAAATAGATCTGAAACGACTCCCTGTTCAGCTCTATGAACTCAGGTCAGCTTCATTGCTAGGAAAACTTAGAAATTCAGCTACTCATACTCTGGATTAAGGTAGAAACAGCAAGAATTGATGAAAGATTCATGGTTGATCGGAGGAAATTGATGAATTTGGACAAAAATGGAAGAAGGAATTGAGAGAAGGCAGAGAGAACAAGAAAATCGCGTCTGGAGATGAATGAGGAACTGAAAATCTGGTCTCCGGTTGAAGCGCGCGACTCTGCATTTAAATCTGGAATTTTTCGTCATCCGCCGTGGTGCCTTCGTCCATCCGCCGCAGCGCCTAGCCTGTACGGTGCCTTTTTGATTAGTGATCTTGAGCTTCATGTAAATACCAATCCACCGTGGCGCCTTTGTCCATTTGTCGCGGCGCTTTTTACTGAGTCCCCTTGGAAATCCGCCATGGCACCTTCCCAAATCCGCCGTGGCGCCTCAGACAGAACTGAAACTCCCTGAAATTCACACCAAAGCAGGGATCAAAAGTACACACATAAAAAATCATATAAAAACATGTAAAAACACCTGCAAAACCTCACAATTCCTCTCACCAACTCTTATGCACAATGGAAGCTAATTATGCCTAAAGTATGCAAATATAGATGGCAAAAGCATGAGTTTAGGGCTAGAAATGTATGCAAATAATGAGACTTATCAACTCCCCCATACTTAGCTTTTGCACTCCTGGGCAAATCAGGTCTAAACATATTGTGAAAGAGAAGGATGAGAGAAAGGAATAAGCAAGCTCAAAAGTTCAGGTTACAACTGCAATCAACAATGATTCTTCAACCAACATCCATCCATGGAACATTCTAATGCAAAGAAATCAAGCAATGATATGTAATTTAATCTAAGTAAATAAGATATAGAAGACCACACAAGGGAATTAGTATACCACTCAACTCACAAGTGTTAAAGGTTCTTTCACCCAATTCACTTATTCAAATGCTCTACTATATGCTTGTAATAGCTCTACCTTTCCACCACTCAAATACATAAGTACTCAAGAATCAAGAGGACTTTTGTGGCTTGTAATGTAAAGGTGGGGAAGAATTGCACAAGAATGCATATGAGGATGGAGTTAATATGAATCAATGTGTAGAATTCAATAGCATTAGTAATGTTCAATTTAAGGTTTGATTTCTTGATCTTGAATTCCTAAGCTATAAAGGTGCTTCTATTCCCACTTTCTTTTCCTTTCTTGCTTTTTCATTTATTTTCAACTTTTCTATTCTCTTTCTCTCTTTTTTTTTTTTTACATTCGCATGTTTCTTCTTCTTTTTCTTTCTTTTTTTTTCTTTTCAGTTTTTTTTTTCAAAGCTCAAGTATGCATCTCCTCAAATCAATCCATCAATTGAATCCATCAAAATGCTAGTGAATTCTGAAAAGAATGAATGAAATGAAATATGCATCCTTGTAGAAAGAAGTTTTATAAATGAGAGTGAAATGAATGGAAAAATTCAGCTAAAAGGCTCAAAGGGTAACAAGGAATAAATCATGTAGGGTTTAGCCACTTGGTCTAAGTAGCTAATTTGAGTGAATGCCGCAATCATGTTCAAGAGTACTAATGTTGCATGTGGTCTTGATTAAGAACTAAGACAAGTTCTAGAAAGCATAAGAAATAAGTGAATGCACACACCAGAAATGAATATAAAGGCTCAAGAATCCTTCCAACTAGGCTTTGTCTTCCATATTCATTCACTTCAACTAAAGAACACATCATGCTTAATCTCTATGCATTAGAAAATTTCACTTCAAGATATTAATTTCCAAATCAAATCAGTCACAAATGTAACATTAGAATTCCTGAAGCAAGCTTAAACCTTCAAAAAGTTATTGAAAAACTAAGGTTTTACAAAAGACACAAAAC